ATTTTTGTTGTTTTTGTCATTTTTATTAGTTATTTTTATTTTTAAAAATTATCAGTTTTTTTATTTTTTATATGTATACAATTTTTATTTCTATTCATTACTTTAGTTTTAGTTATTGTAGCAATTCAGCAAAAAATAAACAAAAATGAGAAATGTTGCCTTGGAAGCTAGCTGAAATAAAATACATGTATTTTTGTGTGTGTGTGTGTGTGTGTGTGTGAGTGAGTGAGTGTCTGCATGTGTGTGTGTTTGAGTGTCTGTGTGTGTGTGTGTGTGTGTGAGTGTGTGAGTGAGTGAGAGAGTGAGTGAGCGAGTGAGTGAGTGAGCGAATGAGTGAGTGAGTGAGTGACTGAGTGGGTGAATGAGCGAGTGAGTGTGTGAGTGAGTGAGTGAGTGAATGAGTGAGTGAATGAGTGAGTGAATGAGTGAGTGAATGAGTGAGTGAATGAGTGAGTGAATGAGTGAGTGAATGAGTGAGTGAATGAGTGAGTGAATGAGTGAGTGAATGAGTGAGTGAATGAGTGAGTGAATGAGTGAGTGAATGAGTGAGTGAATGAGTGAGTGAATGAGTGAGTGAATGAGTGAGTGAATGAGTGAGTGAATGAGTGAGTGAATGAGTGAGTGAATGAGTGAGTGAATGAGTGAGTGAATGAGTGAGTGAATGAGTGAGTGAATGAGTGAGTGAATGAGTGAGTGAATGAGTGAGTGAATGAGTGAGTGAATGAGTGAGTGAATGAGTGAGTGAATGAGTGAGTGAATGAGTGAGTGAATGAGTGAGTGAATGAGTGAGTGAATGAGTGAGTGAATGAGTGAGTGAATGAGTGAGTGAATGAGTGAGTGAATGAGTGAGTGAATGAGTGAGTGAATGAGTGAGTGAATGAGTGAGTGAATGAGTGAGTGAATGAGTGAGTGAATGAGTGAGTGAATGAGTGAGTGAATGAGTGAGTGAATGAGTGAGTGAATGAGTGAGTGAATGAGTGAGTGAATGAGTGAGTGAATGAGTGAGTGAATGAGTGAGTGAATGAGTGAGTGAATGAGTGAGTGAATGAGTGAGTGAATGAGTGAGTGAATGAGTGAGTGAATGAGTGAGTGAATGAGTGAGTGAATGAGTGAGTGAATGAGTGAGTGAATGAGTGAGTGAATGAGTGAGTGAATGAGTGAGTGAGTGAGTGAGTGAGTGTGTGTGTGTGTGTGTGAGTGTGTCTGAGTGTGTGTGTGTGTAAGTGTGTGTGAGTGTGTGAGTGAGTGTGTGAGTGAGAGAGTGAGTGAGCGAGTGAGTGAGTGAGTGAGCGAATGAGTGAGTGAGTGAGTGAATGAGTGAGTGAATGAGTGAGTGAGTGTGTGAGTGTGTGAGTGAGTGAATGAGTGTGTGTGTGAGTGAGTGGGTGTGTGAGTGAGTGAGTGTATGAGTGAGTGAGTGAGTGAGTGAATGAGTGAGTGAATGAGTGAGTGAGTGTGTGAGTGTGTGAGTGAGTGAATGAGTGTGTGTGTGAGTGAGTGAGTGAGTGAGTGAGTGTCTGCATGTGTGTGTGTGTGTGTGAGTGTCTGAGTGTGTGTGTGTGTGTGTGGCTGTACCTTTACAGGACTCTCCGTTGGCAGTGAACACCTCGTTGTCGTGGTAACCATCACGACACTCGCAGTGATACCAGCCAGGTAAATTCACGCAGGTGGCATGTGTGTTACACTGAACCAAACCCTCCGAGCACTCGTCGATGTCTGAACACACACACACACACACACACACGGTTCATTATCTCTGCTCCAAACCCTCGGCTGACTACGTGAACAGCATTTTAAGGCATCGTAAAGCAACCTGTTCTTGACGTGATGAAGGCAGCAGCAGCATTACACAGATTCAGACCAAGAGCTGATAAAAACATCACAATAATCCACAAGTAATCCACACCACTCCAGTCCATCAGTTAACACTTTTTTAAAGATGTTTTTAACTAAAATACAAGTTCATAATCAATAACAAACACTTCCTCCAGTGAAAAAGTGCATCTCCTGTTATCTCTCACATCAAAATCCAGCCACATATTTGTTTAGAGCTATTTTGATCTGTGCAGATTTCTCTCCTGATTCAGACCACTTTTTTCACCTGGAGGAAGTGTTATTATGGATTATGAACTTGTATATTAGTTTCAGCTTTTGTCTTCTCCAGATGTTAACTGATGGACTGGAGTGCTGTGGATTATTGTGATGTTTTTATCAGCTGTTTGGACTCTCATTCTGACGGCACCCATTCACTTGAATGAAGTCCCAATATGATCTCCAACATTTCTCATGAAGTCTTACAGCTTTATACCCTTACTGGATGAGAACTAGTGACTTATTTGGGTCTGTTTGTGTTTTTCAGGAATCTTCTCCATCAGTTACAGCAGTGAATTCAGGTTGTATATTCTCCGTTTGTCTCTGGATGTTTAGTTTGCATCACAAACGCTTCATATTTCATGTTCATTTCCTGTGATCTCAATATCTCAGATTATGTTGATGTTTCTGGGTGTCATGATGACAGAAGAGCTCGGCATGATGGGACATGATTGATATTCAATGATAAACACACATTCAAAAAATCTGTGTGCCTCTCACATAACAGGGTTTGTTCAATAACAGACTGCATCAGAGAAAGATGAAATATCTGGGTCACATTTCACCCCAAAAATGAGATAGATAAATGTTTTAACAGTTGTTTTAAGAATGTTAATGTTATATGAATAATATTTTCATAAACAATTTTATAATATATATATATATATATATATGCATGAAATATTATTTTGAGTATAGTTATAAATGTGCATATATCATCAATTAAAAAAATTAAAATATATATTTTATTTAAATTATTAATTAAAAATTAATATTTTTTCTTTCATATATTTTCTTAATAGGTTTTTATATATATTTTAATGATTTTTTTAAATATTTCATTTTCTATTTTTAATAGACTATATGATTTCTGATAATTATACACATGTATTAGAATTATATAAATGATTTATATTTTATATGTATATTTTTAAAACTAAAGAATGTATTCGTTATGGTAGCATTTGTTGTGCTCGTTTTAATAAAAAATACAGTAATTTTAACTGTAATATATTAAGACATGATTGTATTACAGTGATGAGAATCTAATGAGAATTATCAGTGAGAATAATGAAAATTACAAAATAATTCAGAAGCAAAACATCCTCCCAGACACAGTAATGAGAGCTTTGGTGGAGAATGCAGGAAAAAACAACAATGCTCCCAAAAATAGACTTTTCATTTATTTTATGCAGAATCGTTCTTCTTTTGTTTCTTATGATTGTGGGGTGAAATATGATCGTGTTTTCATTCACACACAGACTGTTTGGTCTCAGTCCAATCCCGTCTTCAGACAAATGGCGTTTGCGATTCAGACATAATGAGTGGAATGATATTAAATTAGACGGTGGGCGACATTAAAGCCATTATTACTCAGACGCTGGTGGAGAGAGATTTGCTCAACGATTAAACACTCACAGGAGAGACGAGCCTCTGCTCTGACTAAAGCTGATCTCAGATCGTTGTGAAAATCACTCTTCACCGGCGGCCAATCACAGCGCGACCTCGCCGGGTCAGGTGACCGCCAGGAGCTTAAGTGGGTTTCTGGGAGCTTTGTTCTGATATTGCTTAAAGGTGACCCACATCTTCTGACTGTTCTTGTGTTTGGTGACGTTGATTAATATCAGAGATGGAATCTGGTTAAACAACGAATGAGAGAAAGTCTGGCTGGTTTTTCACTGAATCGGGAAGCTAGTCCTGTAGAATAGCTTAAAGTCATTATCAGTTTGTGCATTTAATAAAGTCAAATCAATGACAGTCGTGGATTAATGACAGATGCAGGTGATAATAGCTTCTTAAATGCATGCATATATCATTTTATTATATGCAATATAAATATATGCATCATGCCATACAGATTACATTTAAAAAAAAATTTTTTTTTAAATACAATATGATTTATTTAATATTATTTGTCATATTTTTATATGTTTATAGTAAAAATATAATTATACATTTGCACATATCAAGTGAACATTAAGAGGTAATATATGTATGATTTTTTTAATCTATTAAGAAAAAATATAATATATACTTAATAAACAAAGAATAGTTATATAAATAATATTTTAATAAACTATTTTATAATGTAATACTATTTATTGTTAATATTATATTATGTATAATGATGTTATATATTAAAATGTAATATTATAATAATGTAATATAAAGTGGTAATATCATGATATAGTAATCACTTGATTAATTTATTATTTAACATTATTAATACAATATTTATAATATAAATATAATTAGAAATGTGCACATGAGGTAATGACTTTTTTTCTTAGATTTTCAGGAAGCGTTCTCAGGTATTCAGATCACAAGTATATAGAGAAGTATATCAATTCATTACTGAAGTCTCATATCTGAGAGCCGCTGCAGACAACACGCCGAACCTGCTCACATTTATCATCTTAAAGGTTTGACATTTGGTTGTGATCTCCTGCAACCTGAACTTTCAGGAACATGAATGTGAGTCTGACTGTAACTGGACAGTTTTAGCCAGCAGCTCAAAGTTTGTCCACAGTTTCCCCTCGTTGTAAAGCCACGCCACACTCCTCTATTCTGCTGCTCTCACACCGCCGGAGATGAGCAGAAAATAGATGAGCAGGTCTTTTTTTTACAGCCGCGTCTGTTTGCTGCAGAATGCTGAAATCACTCTTGTTCTTTGTGGCAGGAGAGTTTGCAGTCGACAGAACAGACTGGCTTTGAAATTGAAAAGCCGTCTGCCCGCTCGCTGCTGGAAAGAAGAAAAGAAAGAGAAAGAAGGATAGAGCTGGAGTTGAAGTGCTGAATCAGTGTGGGATGCTTGTGTTTTTATTGTGCTATTTATAAGAGAATAGATGATGCTAAATATACTCGCTAGATAACACGCTGTTTGTAATGATTTCATTTAAAGCATTTACTGTTAACGACCTCGTGAAAATGATTACAATTTGTGCCTGTGGAAGCTTGTTTCTGCCACGGGATAAAAAAATTAAAAAGTCAGTTGCAACTTTTTATCTCCCAATTCTGACTTTTTCTCAGAATTGCGAAATATATACTCAGAATTATGAGAAATTGCGCGATATGAACTATGAATTGTGAGATAAAAAGTCAGAGTTGTGAGAAAATAGAATTTCAAAATATAAATTCAGAATCGCAAGATGTAAACAGAATTGTGAGAAAATAGTCAGAATTGCAAGATGCAAACAGATTTAGGAGAAAGAAGTCAGAAATACGAGATATTAAAATTGCAAGACAAAGGTCAGAATTGAGTGAAAAAAGTCTGAATTGCGAGATTTAAACTCAGAGTTGCAAGAAAATAGAATTTAGAAATATAAATTTAGAATTACAAGATGTAAACAGAATTGCAAGAAATTAGTCAAAATAGTGAGAATTGCAAGGAAATTGTCAGAATTCTGAGATATAAATTCAGTTATAAACAGATTTGCAAGAAAAAAGTTCAGAATTGCAAATATAAATTGAGGATTGAGAAAATAGAATTGTGAAATGCATTCTGACATTTATCTGTGAATTGCAAATTCTGAGAATTGCGAGAAAATAGAATCGCAATAACTAAACAGAATTGTGAGGAAAAGTGTCAGAATTACGAGGTATAAAAATGTATGAGAAAAAGGTCAGAATTGCGAGATATAAACTCAGAATTGTGACCTTTATCTGTGAATTGTGAATTCTGAGAAATGCGAGAAAATAGAATTGTGAGATATAAACAGAAATGCGAGATATAAAAATTGCAATAATTTAGAAATATAAATTTAGAATTACAAGATGTAAACAGAATTGCAAGAAATTAGTCAAAATAGTGAGAATTGCAAGGAAATTGTCAGAATTCTGAGATATAAATTCAGTTATAAACAGATTTGCAAGAAAAAAGTTCAGAATTGCAAGATATAAATTGAGGATTGAGAAAATAGAATTGTGAAATGCATTCTGACATTTATCTGTGAATTGCAAATTCTGAGAATTGCGAGAAAATAGAATCGCAATAACTAAACAGAATTGTGAGGAAAAGTGTCAGAATTACGAGGTATAAAAATGTATGAGAAAAAGGTCAGAATTGCGAGATATAAACTCAGAATTGTGACCTTTATCTGTGAATTGTGAATTCTGAGAAATGCGAGAAAATAGAATTGTGAGATATAAACAGAAATGCGAGATATAAAAATTGCAAGACAGATTACATTTAAATTGAACTATTTTTACTGAATTCTGACATTTTAAATTTTATTTTAAATTTTAAATGTCAGAATTTAGTAAAAATAGTCAGACCTGTGAGAAAAGGGTCAGAATTGTGAAATGTAAAAATTGCGAGACAAAGGTCAGAATTGAGTGGATAAAGTCAGATTTGCGAGATTTAAACTCAGAGTTGAAAGAAAATAGAATTTAGAAATATAAATGTAGAATTACAAGATGTAAACAGAATTGTATGAAAATAGTCAGAACTCAGAATTGTGACCTTTATCTGTGAATTGCGAATTCTGAGAAATGTGAGAAAATAGAATTGTGAGATATAAACAGAAATGCAAGATATAAAAATTGCAAGACAAATGTCAGAATTCAGTAAAAATAGTCAGACCTGTGAGAAAAGGGTCAGACTTGTGAGATATAAAAATTGCGAG